AATCTACTTTGGGAATTTCTGCCTCTTGATGGAGGTCTGCTATTCTTGTGTCGAATGGACGATCTAGGATCATCCTCAACACTCTATTCTGTGCAACCTGGATTTTGTTCCTGTGGGTCTGAGCGCACGATTCCCACACCGGGGCGGCATAGAAGATCGCGGGGGCTATGATCTGTTTGTAAACAGCCAGTTTGTTTTGCCTTGAGAGGCGGGATCTGCGGCAAATGAGCGGATACAAACACCTAACCAAGGCGGAGCACTTAACTAGGGTTTTCTCTATGTGCGAGCGGAACAGGAGCTTCTCATCGAACAACATCCCGAGATAAGTAACATCAGTGGACCACTCGACCCTTGTACCATCCATTATTACGGTACAGGAGGGAGACGGTTTAAGTTTTAATGATTGTCTGTGAAGGAACATGATCGCTTGGGTTTTCGAGGCGTTGATTTTGATTTTCCACGTGGTGGCATAATCAGTAAAGGTGTCAAGGCATCGTTGGAGCTTGTTCGTAATTTCACGAGGCATCCTACCCTTGACGGCTATCGCGGTGTCATCTGCAAACAGAAAGAACACGCAACCGTCTCCTAGAGGAGGGATGTCCGACGTGTAGATGCTGTAAAGCAGTGGTCCCAGCAGACTCCCTTGCGGAACACCTGCTGGGATCGGAAATTGTCCCGAAAGGGAACTATTCAACGACACCCTGAACGACCTTTGCTGGAGATAGTTACGGGTGATTTTCACAAGGTATGGTGGAAAGTTGGAGTTACAAAGCTTGTATATAAGTCCGTCGTGCCAGACATTGTCAAACGCCTTTTCGACGTCTAACAAGGCCATGGCTGTGGACTTGGATACAGCTTTGTTACTCCGGATGTTATTCATCACCCGCACTAGCTGATGATTGGTGGAATGCCCCTTACGGAACCCGAACTGTTCCGGAAGAAGAATGTCATGTTCCTCCACAAACTTGTTTAGTCGGCTGAGGATCAATTTTTCGAACAGCTTGCTCAGCGCTGAGAGCAGGCTAATCGGTCTGTAGCTTGACGGTAGTGAAGGATCTTTCCCAGGTTTGCGGATCGGGATGATTTTTGCCACCTTCCAGATGCTTGGAAAGTAGTGCAGCTCCAAGCATCTGTTGAGGATGGCAGCCAGCAGCGAGTGCACCCTCGCGCTGAGATTTTTCAACACTAGGTTGAATATTCCGTCAAACCCGGGAGCCTTCATGTTCGTACTGTGTTTCAGCGCTGAGCAAATTTGTTCCTCTGTAATCCGTTCTTCTTGAGGGACGGCACAAGGGGAGGCATCTAACGTCTGGACGCACTGCACAACCTGGTTCTCGAGTGGACGTGGGATTGTAGAGCCAAGCAAATGCGACTGGGCAATGTGCTCCCCAATTGCATTGGCCTTCTCTTCGTTGGTGATAAGCCGTTCGTCATTGACTCTAAGTGGTGGAATGGGCTTGGGGTGAGACTTCAGCACCTTGGCAACCTTCCAGAATGGTCTGGAACGGTCGTCCAGGTTCTGAACGAGCCGCCCGAAACTCTCGTTCCGGATTGAGACCATTCTGGAAGCGATCTGCCGATTCAGATCGACCATTTCGTATTTACGCTGCAGATCCCCAGTCCGCTGAAACTGGCGTCTACGAACATTTCTGAGCCGAATCAAGAGTTTGGTGTGGGAATCAATTGCTTGAAACTTACCCCTCACAGGAACTCGTCGAACGCACTCTTCGTCAGCCACGGATATGGCTTGATGGAGACCCTCCAGGGCCCGGTCGATGTCCTCCACTGTGTCGAGCGGTGGGTTGTCGTCGATGTGGCGGTCGACCACGCGTCGAAACTGGACCCAGTTGACTCGATGGTAGTCCTTCCGCTGGCACGGTGCAGGGGCCACGTTGTAGCCCAGCTCGGTCAGCACCGGTTGGTGGTCCGAACTCAGGTCGTTGACGGCAACCGGCTTGGCTAATCTGGTGTTTGCCAAGAACAGGTCCAGCGTCGATGGGTTGCCCGTCGGTGATGTGAAGGTTGGTTCGTCCGGAAACCAGACGGAATAGAGACCATGCTGGGAATGGTCGAATAGCAGGCGGCCGTTCTGGTTCTGCTGGTAGTTCCGCCAGGCCTCGTGCCGGGCGTTCAGGTCCCCTCCGATTACGAAGCGGGCATTGGTGCGGGTTATGATGGCAAGGTCGTTCTTGAACTGCTGTGCTGTGCCATTGCTAACGGTACATTGCCGGGGACAGTAGGCGGCGATGAACCGGATGTTTCCGGTCGATGTTTCCACCTCTACGCCGACGGCCTCGATGATGGAAGTGCGGTAGTGGGGTAGGGTGCAGTACTTGATGCCTTTCTTGATGATGACCGCGACACCGCCCCCCCTGGAGCTGGTGCGATCAAGCCGGACAATGCTGTGGTCGGGCAGCCAGAAGCTGTCACCGGTCTTGAGGTGGGTCTCGGTGAGGAGGCCCACGTCGATGTCGTGCTTGCGGAGGAAGTCTGCAAGCTCAATGTTTTTCGCCCCTACGGAGCGAGCGTTCCAGTTGGCGATCTTTATGGGTTCACGGTCCATAATTAGCGACGAAGGAGATGATAGCTTGGAGCTGTTGTGTTCTTGTTGCGCAGGTGCGCTTGATGATGATGGCCTGGGCCAACAGTGTGACGATCTCATCCGTTGACAGCGGAGAATCGTCTGTAGCTTCACCGGTTGTACCGGCCAATCCCGGAGCAGGGGGATCCGTCGATGGGCCGGAGGCTTGACTAGGTACTGCAGCGGCAGCCGACTGGGCAGCAGTCAACTGTTGGTTGAGCGGGAGCGGCGCCAACACTGGAATTGGCCGTGGTTGGACCGGTGATAACGGAGGAAAGTTCTGCGCGTTGTTTTCCGGGACCTTCTTGCGACCGGGCTGGTTGTTGGACGAGGCCTTCTTCCGGATCTCGGCGTATTCGGCCCGCTTCGGACAGGCCTTACTCGTGGCCTTGTGGGCAGCACCGCAGTTGGCGCATGTGGGAGCGGCTTCCTCGATGCTGTCGCAGTCGTCGATCTTGTGGTTTTTGCCGCATTTGATGCAGCGGCTGGCCATGCGGCAGTTCCTGGTGCCGTGCCCGAACAATAGGCAGTTCGAGCACTGAGTGACGCCACGGTGGGTTGGCTTATACCGCTCCCACTTCACTACGATGTGGAACAGTGTGCGTGTCGTATGGAGATCCTTCACGGTTGTGGAGTTCTTCTGCAGATGGACCAAGTAGAGCTGGTCACGATACTTGATGGCCTTGCTGCGGGTCATCTTGTGGATTTCGACCGGCTTGAGGCCGTTCGCCTTAATCTCGTCCATTAAGGTGGTGGTGTCCATGTCGTGGAGCCCGCGCAGCACCACTTTCAGCGGCTTGGTGGCCTCGACGTCGTGGGAGAAGTACTCCAGCTTCATCCTGTCCAAGAGGGCCTGGACTGCGTTGTAGTGATTTTCGGCCGAGACCATCAGTTTGTAGCCTTCCGTGCACCGTTGAATGGTGCAGCGAAGGCCCTGCTTAATGTAGAAATCCAGCTGCTCCCATAGCCCGGGAGGGAAGCCCTTCACATAGAAGGGTGGCAACTTAACTTTTTTAGGCACCGTCTCAGGGTCCGACTGCGGCTGGGCTCCGTTCTGCAGGGCGGAGAACGGATTGTTGCTCAGCAGCTTTTTTGCTGCCGATGCGGTGGCGCTGATGTCTTCAGGTCTGGGTCGTTTAGTTCCGGGAGGCCCCGGCTGCGGGTCCGCAACGCCTGTCGGGACGGGCAATGGGGTTTTCTTCTGCTTCTTCTGAGCTGGCTCGGTGGTCGCGCCGTCTCCTGGGAGAGTCTGTTTTCCCGGTAAGCCGGCACTCGCGTTACCGCGCGATTTCTTACCCATGGCTGGGTCAGCGAGAGCGTCACTATACAACGCGGAGCTAATTCGACTTGCGAACGAACGAACGAAACTAGAGAGAATTCAAATCGACTGAACTGCTCAACAGTCTGGCAGCGAATGATGATGATGAGCTGGACTGAATATGACGGGAATTTTCTAAAATCACTTATCTATAATAACATTCTTCTTCGTTTTCTTCTCTAAACTGCTCTTATTGGCTAGCAAATGGCACCAATCAAGCAACACTGTTTATTTCGATGTGGTGGTGAAGCTCTGCTTGGGAGGGAAGGGACCGTTGGCGGCTGGTCGATAACGACGTTCGTCATTTTGCACCACACACACACTTGCACTTGGTTTGCGAAAAGTAAGGTGGATGGAAACGATGAGATTTCAGTTTTAGGAAAGAAGTTGTACGTTAACTGTTATATTTTCGCACTATAGTTGCGAACAGAGTGTTAAGAAAATTCATGATTTTTTGATGACTTTGAAGTATCAAAAGGGTGTTTCGAAGTTCTACAGATCTCCTCGTGCATTTGTTTGGAGGTTGAACAGCAACAGCGTGACGTTTAGGGTGTCGATATAAACTTAATATTTTTTTTTTGTAGCAGACGTTCTAACCCAAGTTGCATTGCAAGTTTTATCGAGGTTTTAAAGCATTTTACAAGTCTAAATCATATTCTACAGAACCCTCATGAAGTCCAAATTGTTATCTAAGAAGTTACTGTTGATTTTTTGAAAATTTCGATAGATTGAATTGCAATAACAGGGAGTTTGCAATTTCTATTTAAATTTTATTATTGTTCGGATACGGGCCTGCTTTAGCTCAGTCGGGACGCAGCTACAAAGCAAGATCATGCCGGAGGCAGCTGAGTTCGATTCCCGGTCCGGTCTAGGAACTTTTCAGGTTGGACAATTTCTAGACTTCCCTGGGCAAGAGTATGAGCAAAAATGGTACAGGCATCGAAAGCTCTCAATTAATAACTGTGGAAGTGCATCGAGAACATTTAGTTGAGAGCACGCAATAAGCTAAAATGCGATAAGCAATAAGTTTGTACACGCCACTGTTCTTGACAACAAAAGGTAAATAAGCACATGTTTAAATTAATTTATTTTTATTTTTATACGATAAGAATTGCTTTTCTAGGCCAAAACATGACGAAAACGGATACAGTTGCCCACCTTAACATGCAAGTGTTCTACAATCCTCATCTTCACAGATGTCGCAAACTTGCAGTACGATTCCTTCATAGGTCGCCAAAGCAAAACGAGCTGCATTGAAATGGAAAAGGATAAGCTTGAATCGTTAGTCGGTTGAGTTGTGGCAGTAGTCAATTACCTCTATCTTCCGTGTCATACACAACGACGTATGCCGGCCGGTGCATTGCAATCTTGAACTTGCGATGGGCAGTTACCACGAAGCAAAGCTCACGATGTCCCACGGTACTGTAGTATACATACATGGCGGATCCGTCGAACGAACGCATGGTATTCTGCAAGTAAAAGTAATGAAATATATGGTCTGTGGCAGGGTTGCTTCCACTCACTTGCTATAAAAAAATGATTTTCTGAATTTTGAAATTATTAGATGTTATAATGATACTTTGTCTTTGTTAGATACAAGAAGAGGTTGAAAGGCAAGTTTTTGACACATGAAACCTGTCAATTTCACTTTCAGAATGTTAAAATCAGCAATTTTATGATTCATGAGCGCTCACTCAGAGTGAGTACTCGCGAGTCGTAAAATCGCTAATAGTGACTATCTGAAAGCGAAGTTGACAGGTTGTATGTGTCAAACACTTGCCTTTCAGCCTTTTCTTGTATCTAACAAGTACAAAATATCATTATAACATCTAATGATTTCAAAAATCAAAAAAAATCATTTTTTATAGCAAGTGAGTGGAAGCAAGCCTGGTCTGTGGTGAATTTTCGCCACTACTTACTTTAATTTCTCTACCAGAAGATAAATCTCGTACTGCATTATCGTTGACGATGAGACCGCTTGGAAGATGTACTTCAACGAGAACCTTGTTGGATTGTACTTTGTGTTCAGGCGGTGTAAATTTTAAGCATACTTTTAAATCTTGAACCTCGTAGTTGCTCGTCTTCAACAATTCTATTGTAAGGTGGAAACTGTTTTTGGCTGATGCGATATTGTGATGATACTGATACGACAGTTGAAAAAGGCCATATCCAATACCAGCGACGCTGACTTGAAAAACACGGTGTGTATCAGGCAGTTCTTGCTCGGTGATGTACAATGATTTTGACTGATCTATATGGAAGTCCCATTTTCTGAGCTGAGAATCACTGATTTTCGATGTGATTTGTACCCTGTAGTCAACAGGCGATTGGGAAAAGGTCTGTGCCATTTTACCCACTGCTTTCAGACCTACGAAGGTACTTTGAACTCCAGCAAAATTGCCGGAAGAATATCGTTGTTGGTTCAACCACTTATAAATTTCCAAGGCTTGCAACGGAAGATCCTGTGCGATATATGACAGCAGAGCATACCCTGCGATTTCAATACTCAAAGAACCTTCATCCCAGTAGCGCCCATCTTCCATATTGGATTCTGAATTTTTAATGAGTTTTCCAAGAGAATCATATCGCTTTGGGTGGTTGGTCAATGATAAAGCATACGTTACCAAAGCTTGATGATAATCACTCTTAAGATCATCAATTTTACCTGCCAGACATTTAACAGCATTGTCTACAAGTATTTTGTATTCGCTGGAAAAAATTTGATTCTCCTTAATGGCAACCACTACGAACGCCGTCAATGCGATAGATGAAGAATTGTCTTGCATAGGGGAGTAGAGTACTTCACCGACCTCATCGAAGCATCCATTCTTATTTTGTTTGCCTGCCAACCAAGAGAAGGCATCGTTGATCACTGCGCGATTAACCGTGATGTACTTGGATGCCGTTACGAAAGCGTTGGCCACCAGGGCCGTGAGAAATATACTTTCAGTGCCCGGCTCTGAAATCCATTGTCTGAAGGCACCGTTAGCGCTTTTGTACTTCAGTTGGTTATCATAGCCCTTGCTCAAAGAGTCAATTGCCTTTTGCTTAATCGTTTCGTCAGGGTCAGAGACTGTTGAGTGGAGATAATCCAGTGCAACAATGTTCGGAATGAACGTCAAAAGGTTCAGATCACCGCACCCATTGGGGATATTGATTAGTGATTCCGAATGCTTAGCAGGTAATCCTATCACATCATCTGAAATGTAGAGAAAACAATAATCGCAATCAAACATCAGATTGAATGGTGCATAGGTTTGTTCATAGAGCAGTTCCAGGCACAATAGCAAAAAATTGATATGTTGAATCAACCTTCTCCGATTTGTATAAAATTTTGCGTAACTATTTGATATGGGCAACATCTTATTCGGTCATTTTGGGTCTTGTGAAATACGGAGGTGAACTAACCCCATTCTAAAAGCCTCCCTAACTAAGAAAAAAAAAAAAACAAAAAACAAATTGTGAAATTTTCAAAATGGCGTCCTTAGAAATTTTCAAATAATGTTGGCACATAAACGGCATTCCTGATCGAAATGCCGTCTGAGACAAAGCTATAGATAAACAGAAAGTCTTTTTGGGAAACATAAGCAAAACATGTATAAAAATTAACAATTCAATAAAAATACTAAAAACCCAAATTTCTCAACATGTTCATGTGCGATTTTTGATTTTCGTCGTCAAAAAAAAAAAAAAAAGGTAATGAAAAATGTAAATTTTTGGATGTTCAAAACAATGAACTCTTGAAACTGACAAAAATCGTAGAACAAGAACTATTGATCCACTTTTCAACCTTATTGTTAGTTTACTCTTTTATGTGTATTTTTTCACATGAAATGATTTAAAAAGTTTTTGTTCTTGGATTTTTGTCAATTTTTAAGTATCCTTAATTGAAAACACTTCAAAAGTTTGCATTTTTCATCAGCTTTTTTTTTTAATAATTCAAAAATCAGACAAGCTCATTTTGAGATAGGGAAAACGTCGACTTCGGCAATACCTTAACCCGTAAAAGCCCGGGACAAACTATTTATTTTCAAAAAATTGTATCTCTGAGATGCCATGGCCGAATAAATTGAAATTTTTTTAACATCATTCCGGTGAGTGGTTCTTACATATGTTGGGTGGTACTCCCCATCAGGCCCCTCCCTCTTTGTTATATATTCAAGGATTTTTTTTCAATCTGCATCCTATATCTTACTTTGCATTGCGACAACATATTGATTTTTTTCTAATTACTCGATAAAATAATAGAGACCAATCATAAGAGCCCATGTCTACCTTGGAATCGATTCCGGATGTTCCGGATTATGGTCAAATTTATTATTTATCATAACTATGTCGTGTGACGTATCAAATCACATCTACTCGATGAAATATGACCAATGGATCTCAAAATTTATAACCATTATTATATGGCGATCGTAGAACCAGTTCATATCAAATCACATCTACTCGACGAAATATGACCAATATTGCACTCAAAACAACAATCATAGAGCCGTTTGGCCACCGTAGAACCGGTTCTGGACATTCCGGATTATGATTCCATCAAATTAAAATCTCCCATAACCATATCAAGCGATAAAGCAAAGAGCAATATGGCCTCTAAGGTGTTCCAGTTCCAGATATTAATGATCATGGTTCCATATGATTAAATTTGATATCTCTGATAATCATATCAAGTGACATGTCTAATCTCATCTATTCGATGAAACATGACTAACGGCTCTCAAAACAAAAACCATAAAGGCATATGGCCACCGTGGAACCGGTTTCGGGAATTCAGGATTATGGTTCATCAAGGTAAAATTTGATTTCTATGATAACCGTAATAAGCGAGCGACATATCAAATCACATATGGGTCATTCCAGCTCAAGTGGGTACACCACCTGTGGTCGATGTCACCGATTTGAGCCAAACTTGGCCAAAACGCTTATTTTGGCATTTTGAACAAACGCCTTTTTGATTTTGCTCTAAAGTGCTAAGTATTTTCGAGATTTAAAAAAAAAAAATTTCAGAAGAGATTACTCCAAAACCAAATAAGTTATTCATGATCTTAGAACGTCAATTTGAAGGTTTTTATAATGTTAATTCTTATAGGTGTACCCAAATTGTGTTTTTGTTATATTAACGACAGTAAACAGGCTGATTACCGGCAGGTATTTAAGTTGTAAAAAAATGGCCTACTTTAACCATGGGCGGGATTTTTTATTTTCTTATATTTTGGGCTCAAATTTTCACCACACTTTGGAAAACTCTTGTACTTGATGTTTTTCCAAGGGAAAATTATTTGGACAAATAGTTTTTGAGATGTGACCAGATGAGTGAGAGGTAGTTTTAAGCTTTTCTGGTGAAAAATCAATGCTATTTAATATATTTTTATTTTTTCTTGAATTCCTTCATGCTGATGGCACAATAATATTGTTATGTTATTTTTCACATGTTCTGGCTGGATTCTGATTATATGAAATCATAGCTACCTCATTTATTTACTTCTGTTCATAATTTAATTATAATCCTAAAAGTGAAAAATACATTCCTATGGGATACAGCCAAAACGTGCTTAAGAAGTACGATGAAATCAGATAGATTAGGTATGCAAAATTTCAGTTGTGGATGACAGTTGCTACTTGAATAATACCGAGTACATCATATCAAGAAGACTGGCAACTTTTCCAGAATTCAAGCGACAGATACAATAGCGCTGCGCTTGAGTGAAGGTGGAGACAACGCATGGAAAAATTAGCAAACTTTGGGAGTTTCTGTTGAAACAAAATTTGGACAACTTACGTTTATAGCTGCCTATTTGCCATTCCAATGCGTAGGCCAGCAAAAGAATTTTCTCAAGGGTGACCTTCAGAAACTTACCCGTCATAGGTCTAAATTCTTCATTATTGGTGATTTTAATGCAAAACACCGCTCATGGAATAATGCTCAAAGCAATTCCAATGGTAATATTCTGTTTGATGATTGTTCTGCATGTTATTACACTATTCAATATCCAAACAGCCCAACATGCTTTTCTTCTGCAAGAAATCCCTCCACTATTGATTTGGTCTTAACTGATTCATGTCAACTTTGTAGCCAATTGGTTACCCATGCTGACTTCGGTTCTGATCACCTTCCAGTAACTTTTGAAATATCCCAAGAAATAATTTGTAATCCCAACAGCTCTACTTTCAATTACCATAGTGCTGATTGGGAGCAGTATCGAACATTTATGGAATATAACTTCGATCCAAACATTCCATTGCAAACCAAAGATGAAATTAATTATGCTCTTGAATCTCTGACTACTTTTATAGTTGAAGCAAGAGCTGCCTCAGTACCAAAATGCGAGGTTAAATTCGATTCAATTATAATAGACGACGATCTTTAGCTATTGATCCGTCTTAAAAATGTCCGTAGGAGACAATATCAAAGAACACGCGATCCTGCCATGAAAGTTATCTGGCGGGATTTGCAAAAACAAATTAAAAAACGATTCTCTGCTCTGAGGAACAAAACTTTTGAAAATAATGTTTCTAAATTAGACCCGAGTTCTAAACCCTTTTGGAAACTCACAAAAATTTTGAAAAAACCTCAAAAGCCAATTCCAGCGCTTAAAGAAAGTGGTAAAATTTTGATCACAAATTTGGAAAAAGCTCAGAAACTTGCTTAGCAATTCGAGAGTTCCCATAATTTCAGTTTGGGTCTTACTAGCCCTATTGAGAATCAGGTTGCTCGGGATTTTCTGAATATTTTCTCTCGGGAAAATATTTTTGATGATTCCTGGGGGACTGATTTGGACGAAGTAAGGTCTATAACTAAAAAATTTCAAAATATTAAAGCTCCAGGTGATGATGAAATTTTCTATATCCTCATCAAAAAACTCCCAGAGAGTACCTTGTCTTTCCTGGTAAAATTATTTAACAGATGTTTCCATTTGGCATACTTTCCTGATAAATGGAAAAATGCAAAAGTTGTTCCAATTTTGAAGCCGGATAAAAATCCAGCTGAAGCTTCTAGCTACCGTCCAATAAATTTGCTTTCTTCAATAAGTAAACTTTTTGAAAAGATAATTTTAAATAGAATGATGCTTCACATCAATTTTTGCAGATGAGCAGTTTGGATTTCACCATGGGCATTCAACTACTCATCAACTCTTAAGAGTTACCAATTTAAGTCGTTCAAACAAATCTGAAGGCCACTCAACTGGAGTTGCTCTTCTAGACATAGAAAAAGCATTCAACAGTGTTTGGCATGAAGGTTTGATTGCTAAATTGAAAAAGTTTAATTCTCCACTTTACATTATGAAATTAGTTCAAAATTATTTAACTGACAGAAATCTGCAGGTAAATTATCTAAATTCCAAATCTAATCGACTACCTGTTAGAGCAGGAGTTCCTCAGGGTAGCATTCTTGGGCCTATATTGTATAACATTTTCACTTCGGACCTCCCTGATTTGCCTCAGGGTTGCCACAAATCTTTGTTCGCTGATGACACAGGCATTTCCGCTAAAGGAAGAAGTCTTCGTGTTATTTGCAGCAGACTGCAGAAAAGTTTAGATATTTTCTCTTCTTATTTACAAAAATAGAAGATTTCTCCCAACGCTTCCAAAACTCAACTTATAATATTTCCACATAAGCCTAGAGCTTCCTTTTTTGAAACCTAGTAGTAGTCATATAGTCACTATGAGCGGAGTTCCAATTTCCTGGTCAAACCAAGTGAAATATCTTGGATTAATACTTGACCAAAAATTAACTTTTAAAGATCACATTGAGGGCATTCAAGCCAAATGTAACAAATATATAAAATGTTTGTATCCTATTATAAACAGGAAATCCAAACTTTGCCTGACGAATAAACTTCTAATATTTAAACAAGTTTTTAGACCGGCCATGCTTTACGCTGTGCCAATATGGTCTAGTTGCTGCACTACCAGGAAAAAAGCACTTCAAAGGATTCAGAACAAAATTCTGAAAATGATTTTGAAGTTGCCTCCCTGGTACAGTACTACCGAAGAACATAGAATTTCGAATGTTGAGACTTTAGCACAAATGTCCAACAAAATAATTAATAATTTCCGGCAAAAATCGTTATAATCCTCAATTGCAACGATTAATTCCCTTTATACTTAGATAAGATTTAGTTTTAGTGTTTAGTTTTAAGATATCAATTGTTATACTGACATGCAGGTTTAAAAAAAAACCTGTTTAAA